GCTGAACTTTGCTGATGAGACAGAGAGAGAGAGACAGAGAGAGAGAGAGAGAGAGAGAGAGAGAGAGGGAGAGAGAGGATTAAAACTCTTGTTTTCCTTGATTTTTCCATCAGAACAAATATTGGCATAGTTTCTATATGCTCAAGATGATATTTCTAATCTAATGAAAGCCACAGCCCCCCTTTAAATCCCTTCCTGAGAAAGCTCAATACTGCCAAAGGAATTTACTCTCTGTTCTTGCTGGATCTCACCGTTGAACCTAATTTTCTTTCCCTAGAATATATGCTGTAGAAAATTTGACGTTGTAAAACTTTTCTCTGTCTTACTGATGTGTTGTCTTCTACAACCTAGGAATGTCTTTCTCAAGGACTTGTAAAACACTCCTTTGAACTATAACCATCAAAAATGATAACAACAATATCTCCTAGACTCTATGGGGGTTGGAGGTAAAAGCCAAACTGATCAGCTCTAGTTAGCAATTAGAGACACCCTAATCATATTGGCAAACCTCACCTCCAAATATCTCAGTACTTTTAACATAGCCTGACTTTTTGGTGATGTTGAGCTCTGGTCATCTGAAGTCTCTCTCCTCTACTGTAGTGGCCTAAATAAAATCTGTCTTTCTACCTTGGAACAAATACCTAGCTATGATTCTCTTTGACACCACAAACCAACAAGATCAAAACTGTACATCATGGTTAAGACTTGGAATCTCAGGATAACCAGGATGTTAAGTAACTTTTTCCTCCAAAACAAAACATTCCCTCCTAGAGGGAGAAGGAGAAAGGCATAAAAGAGTCAAGAAATGACTCAGAAAGCAAACAAAACTTACAAGGCTCAGGAAACTACTGAAGCATACAAGGATTAAGAAGACCATCAAAGTTACAAGATTCATAAGGCATCTCCCTGAGGCGATATGAGCAGTAACAATTGCTGAGTACAAAGATATTCTGGTGAACCACACTGCGTCAAGTCAAGTAAGGAGCACCAGGGATGCATAGATGGGCTTTTCAGTGACGCAGCTGCTTTTGTTCCTGTAAGTGGTCGTTCACTTATACTCCCCTAAGAAACCCCAATGAGTTCATTTTTTCAACAAGCTATACTTGTATAGAATTATTTCTTTGGTCTGTCATTGTTATCCGATCTGGAGTAAAATAAATATTTGGTCACATCTCTCCAGGAAGTCATACAACACAACATAGTTGTCACCTGAATAAGAACTAGCAGAGCCAAAGATGAATTTGGGAAGAACGGCTGCATGGCATCTGCATTGATGATGAGACAAGCAACTGATATTGATCTTAGGATGAAGATGGGTGTAGGGGGTCTGTAGAAGCAATCCTGATATAATTACCTTTCCTCATGTGGTATGAGGAGATGTGCCTCTTTGCTGTAGTGGCAGTTGCACACACCCTGCAATGAGTGGTAAAACGTACAGCCAAGTCCAAGTCATATGAGAGTGGAGCATCCTTTAGTCGGAATCCAAGGATGGCTACCTTCCTCTGTGTAGTATGGGGCCACAAGCCTCCCAGAAGCCTCCTTAATGAATGAGGTCCACCTCATGAATATGAGAATAGCCCCCAAATCGCTGATGGACTAGAAAAAATTCTAATCCCTAAAAATAGCATGTATGGAGTGGGATCATAAGCAGGCTGAGGCAGCTGTTGCATGGTCTTTGTTGTGAATAATAAAACATGCATCCGATACTGAACTATCTACCCAGGAAGAACTCTCCCATGAAAGGGAGAAAATACAATGAACAAAACACATATGGTATCTTCCATTGTAATAGCATAATGTATGAATGATGTCTGTCCAAGCCCTCAAGCCCTCCCTCCCCTAGCATTCTGGCCATTTTTTATACTCTCACAGTGTTTTTAAAAATACCAAATCAAAATGGACAGTGTTATCTATAAAAGACATGAAAGCACAAAATATAAAAAGCTGAATTTTTATTTGTTCAGGGCCCTGTTTTAGAGACGTATTTCTCTTATGGACACTGTAACTGCTTCCTGCTGTAGCCTTTGTGGTCCATTCTCTATTCAATTCTTGAAGTACTACATTAAATTAGCTTAATTTTGAAAAAAAGTAGGAAATGGAGAGTGAGATTTAGCTGTTGGCTTGCCATTTCTTACCACTGGCAGGATACAAGAGAAAGAAAACAAGCTAGATCTTTGCTAAAGAGTCTTACTGGAATCCAAAATGATGAAACACTGTAAGTGAAAAAGATAAAACTGGTCCTATGGCTGAGCAGTTATCATGCCAGAATGTACCGTATACATTTCCTCCCATAAGGAAGTATATTGGGGGTGGAAATTGCCCATTCAGACTGAGACCTTTTTAGTAGCCATTTGTGGCTATGGAAAAGCAAGGACCATGGTTCTGGCTCTGTCAGAAACAGGGAGCTGGCTCCAGAAGCAGGCACAGCAAGCTAGAATGTGGCCCTACTTAGGTCTGAGGTAGGGCAAATAGCACAAACTGGCCCAGTAGAAACAAACCATCAGGGTAGGCAGATATATAGAAACCTTATGGCAGCAATAGCACCCTAGGATGAGCAGGCTATATAGCTCACAGAAAATGATGGTAAATTATAAAGGGCTACATGTAATAGTGTGCTCTACCCATGCTTCTGTACCCAACATTACTTTTTTTGTGGCAGGGTCTCCCTGGAGCCCCAGCTGTCCTGGAACTCACTATGTAGACCTGGCTCAATCTCACAGATACTCACCTGCCTCTGCCTCCCAATTGCTGAGAGTAAAGGCATGTAGCACACACCTAGCCTCAACAAAAAGATTGATACAAATAAATATTTTCGTGCTGTATCAGACTTTTCTAAGAGCAACTGGCAAGACCAACTGGCACCTGCTTGGAGGGAAGAGCCATGGACCTCTAGAAATCCTGACTATGCTCTGTAAAAATGTTTCCTTATACATTGCAAATTTTTTGTCTTACAGATTTGGAGAAAAAAAAACATTTGAAAGAACAGTGAAAAGAGCAGCTAAAGATTTTAAACAAAGGCACCATATGTAGGTGGAAAAAGCCACTCCCAGGAGCCATAAGATTGCTGATTCTGTCCATTTCAATCAGTCATAGAGAAAAATTTATTTTGAAGTAGGCAGTGTACTACAGAGACTCATGGCCAGTGAAGTTCCTGAGAATATGTGACTGTTGCTGTGAAATAGCAATAAAGTGGCCCAGTAGAAACTAAGCAGTGTTAATGGACTAACACTCAGACACAAAGAGAAAAACATAGTCAGATATCCATTTCACCCCCTCCAAGGCTCAGAACATATAGCAAAAGAGGGCATGGAAAGAATGTAAAGAGCCTGAGGAAGGGGTTGAGTCAAGTTGTGTTCTTCTTTTCCCCAAATTGAAACATTCCCTCTTGGAGAGAAGAGAGCAGCTCATATGGTTTAGGAACCTAAAAAAACTTAGAAGCCTCAGAAAGTTCATGAAAGTTACAAGATTTCCAGAGCTGCTAAGTAAGCAGTAAGCAATATCTGGAGGAGGAGAGACTCTCCAACTGGCTTCATTGTCTGAAAATTGCTCAGGGAACTCCAAGAATGCAGTGTTCATCAGTCCTCACCCATGCCAGGGTGGGCTTTCTGGTAATACAACTGCCTTTCAGTCATCCATGTTCCTGAAAGTATCCTCTTACCTATAATCCTAAAAGTAACTCCAATAAACTCATTGCTTTACCAAAGAAAGACTTGGGTGAAATCATTTCTTTGATAGGTGCCCTATCTGGGGTGAATAGATGCTTGTTCACTTCTTTCCAGGAAAAGTCATGCAACAAGAAGAAAATGAAGATAGAACCAGAATATGAACCTCTATAGTCTAGAGGAAAACCTCAAGTGATTTTGAGTTCACATGCATTTATTCACATTCATGAAGTGGAAGTAGAGATATGTAGAGAAAGGACGAAGTCAAAGAAGTTATGACACAGAGGAGAATCCTTTGGTGTGTGGCAATATTTCCAAACTGTGGATTAAACAGGAAGCATTTCAATGTGTAATGGATAATTCTCTAAAAACATTATAGCCGATGATAAGCAGTGGTCAAAATGGAAAACTAAGTGGAGCTTGTCTTTTTCATGGCTTGAGGAGTTTGATCCCATTGGGACAGGATCGGTCTTTCGTCTATTTAAATCTAATGGTGAAAGTCATAGCTTACCAAACCACTTAGCTCACCTAGCATCCTAAGAATAAAGCCCACCATTTTGTGCTGTCACCATTCTCTATTGAAACAGTGATGTCATAAAGTTGAAGTTCTAGTACCATCTGGCAATTAAGTCTTTAGGAGAGTATGGAGAGTTGAGGAAAGATATAACATCTTACATCAGACTGGAAGAGTCATCACAACTTCCAAAGTGATCAGAAAAAAAGCATCCAAACGTCCCAAATGATTGCCTTACTATGGTACTGCAAAGGTAGGGCCATAGTCTGACTTCTTTTTTACTAAATTGGGAGTGGTATTAATAATGCCACAAAACTGCTAAGGTGGCCTTTAATTTTTCATTCTTCATTTTATTAGGGATACCTAAGAAAGCCTTTGATCAAAGTTTCTGTTTCAACAGAATTCTAAAGATCTGTTGTTAAATAACTCCAATGCTCTAGAAGGAAATTCAGAGAAAAGCTAAACTGTGAAAACTAGTTTAATTCACAAGACTGGTGGTGATTCTATATGTGAAAACTGAAATCCTCCTCCAAACCAGTAATGTATGTGTGATTAGATTAGTCTGAAAGTCTAGCAAGAAAAGATATGGTTGATATTGATGGGTTGTGAATTGTGTAAAATGTTTTGAAATATAGGTACCCTCCTAGACATAATGGAAATTTGTCCTATAGCAGGCAACCTGGTGTGCTTTGGATGTGAAAAAGTTATTGAGTTTGCCAGTGTGCCATGCCTTTGCTCAGCTTGCTACAGCACTTGGCATTGTGACCCAACAAACCTCCTTGTCATACCCAGAGGGTCAAAGCCAGCAGGGAACAGCTTGGCCCATCAGCCTGGTCCAACAGCTGACTGGGGTGGCAGCCAGCTGCAAGTGCCTAAGAACTTGGCACTGCCCACTTTCATCTAAAGGGGCACATCTCCCTTCTGGGTGGCACATATTCAGTTAAAGGTCCAAAAGAACTTCATTATCAAGGTAATGAGTTTATATATTTTACTTTTTACAGTTTTTTTAAGATCCACATCTCACAAAGGATCTCTTTGCCAGCCTCTTTTTTAAGGTTCATGTTCATTAGCTCTTTAAAAAAAAAACAACCCTCATCTGAAAAGTTTGTAAGGGACCTTTTTCTATAGCTATTTCAAGGTTTTGTAGAGTTTTTAAAGGAAAAACAACCCCCAAAGAGCTTAGGAAGTGGCCAAGATGATAAGAATCATGTAAAAAGCAGTCATTAGATGATAGCTATTATAAAATTGTTTGAGGCAAAGAGAAAACAGAGGGAGGGAAAGAGGGAGGACAGAAAGGGGGAAAATAGGAAAGGGAAGAGAGACGTAGGGAGGGAAAGAGAGATGAGGAGAAAGAGCAAAAATAGAGGGAGAGAGAAGAGGTAGGAAGGGAGGGAGGATGAATGAAGAGAAAGGGAGGCAGAAGGAGGACAGATGGAAGAAGGCAGAAGAGAGGGAAGAGGGGGTGGGAAGGAGGAGGGAAAGAGCAGAGGGGAAGGAGGGAGAATGCTGGAGGGAGAATGCACGATGTTGAAGGGAGGAGGGAAGAGAAACGGAGAATGTTGGAGGGAGAAGAGAGGAAGAATGTTGGAGGGAAGAGGGAGAGAGACAGGGAAGGAGGACGGATGAGGAAGGGAGAGGAGGGAAGAGAGAGAAAGGGGATGGAGGGGAATGAGGGAGAGGAGGGGAGGGGGAAGGACAAAGGGGAGGGGGGAGGGAGGAGGAAGGGGGAGAAGGGAAGACTTGTGGGGTAGGGAGGAGGGAGGGAGAGAGGAGGGAGGGAGGGAAAAAGGTAAGAAAAGAGCTGGAGGATAAAGGGAGGGAGGGAGGAAAGGATGAGGAGGGAAGGAGGAGGAAGGGAGGAAATGAGAAGAAAGGGAATGAGGAAGAGAGGAAGAGAGAGGAGGGGGAGGGAGCATAGATGAGGGAGAGAGGAGAAGAGAGGGAGGAGAAGCAGGAATAGGAGGGTGGAGGAGGAAGGAGGAGGGTAGAGAGGGGAAGAGAAGAGAGGATGGAGGTTGGAGGAAGGAAGAGGGACTAGGGAGGACAGGAGGGAAGAAATGAGGAAGGGAGGATAAAAGGGGGGAGGAGGAAGAGAGGAAGGAGAGGGGAAAAAGATAAAAGAGGGGAAGAGAGGGAAGAAAGAAGGAGAAGATGGAAAGGGGAGAAGAAAACAATGTGAGCTGCTTTGAAGATTTAGAGGAAATGGAAGAAGTCTAATTTTTAAGGGAAGCTGAAGGAAAAAGATGTGTGTGTCTCTGTGTGTGTGTGTGTGTGTGTGTGTGTGTGTGTCTGTGTGTGGAAAAGAGAATAAAACAGCCCCCTGATACTTAGAAAAAATAATTTTTCTTATTAAATTTTAAAGAGAAAAGTCCTCAGTAAGACACACACACACACACACACACACACACACACACACACACGTACGCACACAGAGCAAAATTTCATCACTGGCTTCTTCTGTTTTCTTTGTACTTTTAGCCCCAGACTGGGTTGGAAGAGTGGCAAATAAGGGTTGCAGGAAGTTAGCAGAAACTTATTTCTAATAAAATTCAATTTGATTCTTTCAGATCACAGTCTGCTTTTTCTCAGATACTTATCTTTTGTTTCTACATTTTAAGGCTATTATACTGAGTTTTCATAGAATTCTCTATGAGATTTAGTTATTTAGTTGGGTAGAAGTAAATCATTAAATATAATCTCTAGTCTCCGGAACCCTCTTATATTTGCTTCCTAGTCTACTTTTCCTGACTGGTGTACTCTCAAGTCAATGTGACTACCACGGCTCCAAAATGGTAAGGCAAAATGAAAAGAGACCACAAATTCCAATAAAAGTCAATGATCTTGTGCCTCAACCTCAAACATTTTGGTGTTTCATTCACCACTTCTCACACCCTTCTCTGCAGTTCTAAGTCTTTAGACTAGCCATTATACAAGAATTTCACATTATTTGTTTCCCATTGCAGATGTCTGATGATATCAATTTGTTACACAGCTGCAGAGGTATGTGCAACATAGATCTCTGCAACCCAAAAGGACAACAAGATCAGGACCGAAAAGTGGTAAGATACAAATTAACCTCAACCAAAGAGTAGAAATATTTAACATATACGTATAGATATACTTGGGCCCAAGATAAACTCATGAAAACTGATACTTGACTTCTCCAAGCAACCAAGCTTAATAAGATTTTTCAGGGGCCAGTAAACATATACATTATACAGGGGTGAATTGGAGGAGGGGCAGAATGAGGAGTGATTTACCTGGAGGTTTACCTCCATGAAACATAGGTGGGTATCAGAGGTTCCTTGAGAGTTTTATTCAAATTGACCCCATTTCTACTAACCATCATACAAGAATTTCACATTCTTTGTTTCCCACTGCAGATGTCTGATGATATCAATTGGTTACACAGCTGCAGAGGTATGTGCAAGGTAGATCTCTACAGCCCAAAAGGACAACAAGATCAGGACCGAAAAGTGGTAAGATACAAATTAACCTCAACCAAAGAGTAGAAATATTTAACATATACATATAGATATACTTGGGCCCAAGATAAACTCAAGAAAACTGATACTTGACTTCTCCAAGCAACCAAGCTTAATAAGATTTTTCAGGGGCCAGTAAACATATACATTATACAGGGGTGAATTGGAGGAGGGGCAGAATGAGGAGTGATGTAAGAGAGCTGGTGAGCAAAAGCAAGGGATGAGCCTCAGGGGAGGGAGGAGCAGGAAGAGAGGGAGGAGGATCCCTGAGAGGAAGGAGAAGCTTTAAAGGAGGAAGGAGTGGTGGTTGCCTAGTAGCCAGTCTCTACTACTTAATATTCCTTAAGTCATGTTTATCTACCAGTTAGTTGCTCTGGCACTACTAAGGAGGGCAAAATACTTTATTTCCCAAATTTTAACTGATTTGCATAGTGCTTCACATTTTTTATTATGTCCAAGTGCCATCCATTGATATGTAAAATTGTAACATTTAGAATACTGATTTATATTTTAAAATGACCATTACCCTAAGCAATATTTTCCACAGCATTACAGGTATCAGATTCTAGGACAATGTACCTATAATGCACAAAAGTGCTCACCAATGTACTACTAAAATAGTGAATATATTCAACAGTAAAATACACCAGATTGAGAAACACTGATATAGTATAAAGTGCCCTAAATTAGAAGCTACAGAAATCAAATTCTTATGTATTCTTATAGAATCAGTCTTTGCATTTGTGCCACTTGGGGCAGGCACATCTCTTTTCTTCTCAGTTTTGTTTTATTTTGTTTGTTAATATTTGTAGGTGTTTTCTTTTGAATCATTCTAGTACAGAAATAGTCATAATATTAATGTTTATTCAGTAATGTGTGCCACATTCTGCTTAAAGCTTTACACACACTATCAGTTAATCCTCATAGGTATCCCACGACATAAATGCTATTATCAACTCCAACAAAAATTATAGCCTTTTCTCTAGACTTTATCTAAATTCACCCCCCTAATTTGATGCAGATATGCTTTGTGGATGTGTCCACCCTGAATGTGGAAGATAAAGATTCCAAGGTGGGTATTTTGTGCTCCCCGTTGAAGAGGGTGGGAAACTGGTGAGAAGGCTTGCCTATGAAGTATGAGCAAAGGGCAAAGTTATGGTGGAGGGCAGAAAGGTGGAGGAGACTCAGCTGGAAGAACATCATTCTCATGAGCCTAGGGTCTCTGGTTCTGAATTTATTGTCACTTTTAATGCCAAATTTTATTTTACAAGTCTTTTTTTGGGGGGGTTCTTTTTGAGACACGATCTCCCTGTAGCCCCAGCCATCCTGGAACTCACTATGTAGGCCAGGCTGGCCTTGCACTCACAGAGATCTGCCTGCCTCTGCCTCCCTAGTGCTGGGATTAAAGGTGTGTGCCACCATGCCTGCCCCCAAAAAATCACTGGTTGGGCTAAATGAAAGCATAGAAGACAACATGAGAGAAAAGGTTTTGAAAACTGCAATCTGTCTGGAAGAGTGGTAACTGACAGAATATGGCTTTTGAGACTGATGGCACTGAGTCATCAGAGGAAGAATTGATAATCTGTGGAAATGCTTTGTCTCATTCTTTAAAAGCTTGCTAGCCTTAAAAACCTACATCTCCTGCATAAAGAAAAAGGCATAAGAGACATGACATTCATGATATGAAGTGGTAGCCTAGGGGGTGGGGCAGCTTGGAGACATCTTGAAAAGCAACTGTTCATAAAAAAATTTCACCTTTTAATTCCATAGGGTGCTTCTGGTTCCAGAACAGAAGGTGAATTAAATCTGGAGAATCTGGAAGAAAGAGAGATTATCGTGATCAAGGACACTGAAAACCAAGAACATTTTAAGGTAGACCTAGCCCCTGAGGTTCTACCTCTCTTAATTTCTAGGACCCAATATTAAGTCTGAGGACTCTGGTTCAGAGAAGGCAAGGAAACTGTTGTCCAATAAGAACATCAAACTGAAACACATGACATTTAGAAAACACAGGACTAAGTTCAGGGCTATAGCAAGTTCAACATACAGTTATTTAAAAGTATGTATTCCAAATGGAATCTTGCTTCTCTATCCTAACAAAGATGTGAGCTTTGCAATGTTCTTTGATGGCTTGCCGTGTTCTTGTGTGTCTAATATTGCTTAGCGTCCAATAAGAGAGAAGACTATGGAACAGAGAGAATCTGTAACAACCAAGAATTTGAGTACTTAAGAGATTACATAGACTGTTGAAAAGGCTCAAGTTAGGATGCTGCTATCACATGCCAAATCCATTTATTTTGGTGAATCTCAAATTATATCTATTAATCTTGTGGTTTAGGGAGGGTAGTTAAACACCTAAGTCACTCCCACATACCTACAAGCCTGGAGAGGATGGACTGGAAAGGAGATTTTGCTTCAGTGCAAAAGAGTCAAATGTGTTCTGTTCTGTCTCTAGGCTCAAATGTTGTAAGTAAAATATGATTTCTAATCCAAGACACATTTGGAATGGGGCCAGTGACCCTGAGAGAAGAAAAACAAGTTACAGAACATTCTTCAAAGAATTTGTGGTTTATTTGGAGGTGGCCAACTCCATTATGGAGTCTTAGAAAAGTACAACTTATACCTAGTGTTTCTTTATAAAGGAGACGCCTGTTATTGCTTACACACCTGCAGATCACCTTGACCATAACTTAAGCCCATTTTCAAAGAGTTTGACCCTACTATGACTTATTTCCAATAATTCAGTAAAATGAGAAGAGGTAAAACAACAGGAGCAGAGATAGCAGCAGTCCCTAAGTGCTGTATTGAAGGTGTACATAGACTTCTACATCTATACAGACATGAGCATACATGAGCATATACAGTCACAAAGGATAGATTTAAATACAATGTAGATATATACAACATTGAATTTAAATCTATCAACTTCCATACATCAGGAATACAGACAAACACATAATTGGCTACATATCACATCTATGAACGCATACAAGCATTGATATAACAAATCTAAATACACTGACCTTTGCATAAGACTTTCATACATATATAAAGACCAAAAGTCAAATGTAGTGATGAACCCACATATAACACACATAAACACCCACATTTACATTCATGCATACAATATATAAATGCACACTAACATGCACAGGTCTTGATCAAAATACAGTGACTCTATAAATCCAGGTATTGGCCTCCACACTTAGAAATTCATATGGAAAGACCTATTTGACCATACATAGCCATGCCTGATATACATACATACAAGCATAAAGTGACACATATTCCACTAACACACTTGTTTGTATACTTTGATGCACACATTGGCACAAATGCAATGCATGTTATTCACAAACATACTCAAATGTTAGGGTATATGCAACACTTATATACACATTATCAAATACTTATATAACTTATGAATGTAGAATAAACTAATAACCAACTTATTGGCATGTAGTCATAATTTCAAACCACATTCATTAATATACTTATATGTTATATGTTATTAATGAAAGTATATATTAAAATGTGAATATATGCTTCAGCATGTAAATACATTTATAGCTGCATATTGAATAGTAGTAAATACATTATTCAAACTGACAATGACTTATGTACATATTCAGACATACTAACATACAAGTATACTTTTGTATTCACTAGCATGTATAAAATGTATACAAGTGCTGACTTACACAGTAGACATGCACATTTTTACATATGGTTACACATAGCCATACAGATGTACACATACACACAATGGCAACTTCCACATCAGTAATACAGATTGGCCCATTCTCACATCTATTCGGATACTCACATATATGAATTGTTATATTGACATATATATGCATACAATACACTGACACATTTTTGACATGTTGAGAAAAACACAAAATCACATGAAACTGTCAAAAAT